GCGATGTTGCTTTGACCAGGGTTTGAACCCAGGCATTGTGGAGTGGAAGCGCGCACTGCTTACCACTACACCACAGCGGCCGTTATATTCGAGGTAGGCGTGGTTATTGTCCGATTTTTCTCATTTTCAATACCATTCGTCCTACGCCCGAAAAAAGTGCACGTACCGAGTTTCGTTAAGATATCTCATTTTTTACTCGAGTAAACGTGTGCACAGACGAACGGACGGACTGACGGACAGACGGTCACTGCTTAATCGGTTTCTCTTTTCATTCTGATCATTTATGTATACATTTGTCTATATCTATCTTGATTCGTTTTGCCTGTTACAAACAACCGTTATATGAACAAAGTTATAATACCCCTGTGCACAAGTGCGCTCGGGTAAAAAAAAACTTTTTCTGTACAAATTTCCCACGCGTGACGGTGGAATCGCCTATGTACTAATATATCTGTTCATATGGAATAGTAGCTTATGTCGAAAAGCTGGCTTTAGTATAATGTTGTATTCGCAGCATACGATTGCGAAGGACTTACTGGCGCCGAGCCGTTGAAGAACAAATAAACGTGCAAGAAATAGTTCCGATACTAGCAATATTTCATAGTCAATATTTTTACTAAGTCTCATCAAAAAATTCCTTGTTGTTTAAAGGATAAAGGAAATCCCGTATTATTTATACTAAAGCCAGCTTCTCGACATAAGCCACTATTCCATACCAACACAGATATATTTTGACACCTGCTGCAGACGTCCCAAGGATGGTTAGGCTAAAAAAAATTCCATATCTAAAGAGGGCATGGCACCTCCCATACAAACCGAATTTTCAAACAGCATATCTCTGGAATTGTTCATGGTAGAGTTCTGGAACTTGGTATGGAGATTAGGGATGTTGCGAATGTGGAATTTTAGACATCCGCGGATGCGAATGCGGAAATATTTTTAAGAAATCATTTTGGTGAGTACATTAGGTTATTTAGGTAAATAAAAAATGGAAAAGTTAGTAATTTTTGATAGTGTTTTTATATTTAGTACTTAAATTAAAAAATTGGAACATTGTATTTAAGAAAGAGTAATTTTGCCGCCTTTTCCGGTTACAGCCTGTTTCCTAACGGGTCGCAAATCAAACCTGTGCACTAAGTAACTACTCGCTCGAGGCGACAAACTTGAAACTTGGACAAAATTGTAAATTCTTGTCGATTGACGCTGCACCAGTTGAGAGGACTTTCAGTTATATTTCTTTTTTTATTGCGGTGCAATAATTCCCTTTTGACAATTGCATCGGGGCTGCAAGTGTCGTATGTGTCCTCCTGACTTTCATCTTCACAATCTAGCATCATGGCAAGATCGTTGTTTCAACACCGTTGTGTTCCAGTTTGGAGAACCAATTCTTTTGTATGTTTCAGAACTTGGAGAACCTGTTACGTCATCAACGTTTTTCTATTATAGTTTTTGTAATTCATTTTTAATACTGTCTTCTGTGACTGGTTTGAAAAATGTGTGCTTATAGCGACGTTGTGAATAGGTGGATATGGCAAATAAATTGTTATTTTCTAGGAATGAAAATTGCGAAGAAAATTCTGTTTTCAAAGTCATGGCTGCCAGCAGAATTAGTTTAAAATCTTGTTATTTTATTAAAAAGGTACCCCGCTTTTTATAATAATTTGAGTTATTGGAATCACGACCAGTAATGAATAGCTTGCATATAGTTTTTTTCTATTAGTTAGTTGAGCTCGGCTTTTCCTAGTTGCAGGCATCACAATTAATTTCTCACCGCTGTCGGTACCATAACCCATCAAATCCGTCTTGTTGTTCTATTCCATGCGCTCAATGTGTTTTGATATTTTTTTTGAGGCGAATGAACGCAAATCTTCAACATATCGTTAATACTATTTTAAAAGGGCGTATTTCACATTGTCGCTGAAATACAAAAAACCTAAACGAACTAAATTTTTTTATTGCCTAAAACGATGTGGGGACTTATGATTCGATGAAATGCATCATAATCAATCAAAAAGTGAATTTTGGATTTTTAGGTAGTTAAGCCCTTTCCATACTATACCCAATAGCTATAAAATTCACCTTGAATTAATTCTTATTTAAGTTGTGAACTTGGGTGTCAACTTATTTAGTACATATCATTTCATCTTTATTTCGATGCTTGCTAAATTTTACAATTTACACAAAATTAAAATAAATGTTTTTGTTTCTGAGCTGAAAGACTAACAAATGGGAACACGGAACTTAAGCATACTAAGTTTTATGAGAAAAAAAAAATAATTACACTTAGAAAAAAACTAGCGATTAACGTAGCGTCTCCACAGGCAAAAAATGTTGGCTACAATTTTTTGTTTGCTAGATACACGTTTTTTCAGTGCACTTGCACAATATTCGCATTCGCAAAAGCTCCGCATTGATTATTGCGAATGCGAAAGCGAATGCGAATGTTAAAATTTATGCGGAAGTTCCGCGGTTGCGAATGCGAATGCGAATATTCGCAACAACCCTGGTTTGTATCATCATGCAGATATTTTGAAGCAAGTTGGAACCAGCTCTTTGGTATTTCGAAACCTAATGAACCATTTATTCATTTTTTGGACGATTCTGCTGTGCTGCGTTCCTGCTCCGCCTGTGTATTTGTTGTATTTTTTTTGTAGTTTTCTATGAAGTTTTAAAATTGAGTTTATATGTTTTTTTGTTAGAAAATTAACTGTATTTTTATTGTAAATTCCCAGAAATAAATAAGCCAACATGAGTGAGAAAATATATAACTTTGAAATGGGGTTGCTATTGAATGGCCGATACTGTATGTATATATGTAATAAATTTTGTACAATTAAAAATCAAAGTGGATTTACTAAAATTCTAAATTCTAAAATATATCGTTAATTTCAAAAACAAATAAATAAAACATTAAAAAGTATTCAATGTTTGCTGTTAAAAACAAATCCTTTTATAAACTAACAAAAGAAAAACATAATCAAATAACTAAAGAACATTACCTCATTCAAGAATCGGCTAATAACGGCCGATGCCGATTCTTTTCGCCGATACTACCCTCGGCATCGGCCGTTTAATCGGTCGGACTCTACTATTGTCCTAGCTTAAGGAATGTAGAAGATAAAGGCCTGTTTCGAAAATCGACTATATGAGTATAAATCGGAGGTATTTCGTAAAGAAAATCAGCCTTATCATAAGCCTCATTTTCCCCGACCCGGTTCACTTTTCACTCTTGGTTTACATGGTTTTACTATGGGCGGATGACAAATTTTCGGGTAAATTTTTTCGGGCGAAACTCAGGATAAGGCAGAATATGTCATGCCTTCGATTCGCTTCAAATTTTTGTATGGGTTCTATACATACGGTGACCAGATTTCTGTGGATAAGAATCGGGACAATTTTAAAGCATCGAATCGCAACATAAAATTTTGTTTTTATAATAAACAATACAATATACATATACGGTGGCGAGAATGTGAATAGGGAAAAGACATTTTAGTAAGTTTTGGATAATGTTTATGATTTATTTATGAAAATATAGCTACTTCTAAAAAAGACCATGTAAATCAAACTTCCAAACTTTGTAGAATATTTACAAAAAATATACGAATTTTAACAAATGTTTATCAGAGTTTTAGATTTTGTTGTTAACAAAGGGATATTCTGCCGAAATCCGCAATAAAATCTGCGTTTTACTAACTCTAGTCCTACAATTGCCACGCTTATTTCTAGGGGTTTGTCGCCTTAAAGAAAAATCCTGCCGTACAAATATTATTTCCGGATATTCTATCGAAATCAACTATAAAATTTAAATTTTTGCAAAAACACCTTTCTAAATATATCTCATCATAAGTTTTCGAAAACAAATTACAAAAAATTGCTGAATCTCACAAAATAAACCATCTCGTCATAAAAAAAAAAAATATTTTAAAAATAGTTTTTGAGAAACGCCCATTTTTTGAAAAATGTTTTGAGGACAACCCGAGATAAAACGATTTGAAGAAGACCATGATTAGTCAGAATCACGAAAAAATCCAAATTTTGACAGATCATATCTCCGAAGAATTTTTTTTTTTAATTTCCTCAAATGCGTGTTAGCTTATTTCATGTATAGAACCCATAAAAAAAAATTTCAAGCCAATCGAAAGTGTGCCACTTCAAACTTGCACTTTGTGACAATAAAAATGGGCTGCAAAACTGCATACTCAAAATCTTTCTAAGAATTCTAATTAAAAAGCTCGAAATTTACTAGACGCATTACTGGATCTGCCATTTTGAATTTTGTAATTCTAACAGCGTATTCGTAATTAGCGACCTCGAAATCCCCCTAGTAGTTTAGAATATTTTTTTTTAACCTTCGAATTTTGGCCGCACTTTGCGTCGCTGAAATGTTAAGAAAGCCACAAAAATTTTTATTACATACATAGATGTGGAGATTTATAATTCGATGAAATGCATTATAATCAATCAAAAAGTGAATTTCGGAATTTTAGTTGGTTACGGCTTTTTGTATTTCAGCGTCGATGTGAGTTACGCCCTTTCTATACTATACTAACGATATGTTTGTACATACATATGCACATACATATCGTCGTTTAAAGTACAAAACCGCGTAACTGACATTTTCTGGCAAAAATTGGATTTTCTCACACAAGCTCTTGGCTCAATCCTTAACCATTCGTCCTGATATATACTAGCCGGATATGCGATTACTTTATAAAAAGGACAACCATTTTGAAATATGAGTGTTTTTACTCTCTACAAAATAATTTATGCAACCTCACATTTCCCTCGCGATTTTGCATTATCTTGATACGCGGTTTCGTACTTTAAACGACGATATGTAGCTTTGCTAAATTGTATAATGATCTTAGTCACGAAATACACGCATATGCCATTTATTACATTAATTTAGCATTTATTTATGTATATGTAAATTCGTGTGTACATACATATATCTCTATATGCATCCCTATATATATAGTCACACATCTCTATTTATTTTAGATGCTTGTTGCACCGCTTAAACGAAACAATTTTTATGTGATCGATTTCTTAAATTTAATCGTTAAATATTTAATAAACAACTACTAAAAATCGCATAAAATGATTTTATTGATATTTGCTTCATTTTCGGTTATAACTTATCTCTTTTTGACATGGAACTTCACCTATTGGCGAATTCGCGGGGTAAAAGGGCCGAATCCGCTGCCCATATTCGGCTCATTTCCTGGTTTAATTGTGAAGAATCAACATTTTGCAGACAATATAAGTGATATTTATAGGTAACAATATTGCCAAGTGGAGTACATACACATTTAAAAACGTGGTTAGGGTTTATTCTCGGTTTCAACATACTTAAATAGTCAAATTTCAAGGACAAATGTATGTATGTAGGTACACGACCAGCTTATGTCGGACCGTTTTTCTAAAACCAAAATTTATCGGGGGAAAAATGTGAGTTTGGGAATGAAAATAGCCATGTAATTTTTTATCATGCGGTCCACAGACAAAAAAGGGAACGATGAAACGACCAACTTATTCTTCTTCTTCTTATTTGGCGCTGTAACCAGCGTTGCCATTTTAGCCGTTTTCCGGCTAGATTTAGCCGGTTTTGATAGCAACTAGCCGGAGAAAATTCGATCTAGCCGGCAGCCGATTTGTTACCCGGTTTGTAAAAAAAAGTTAGCCGTTTTTAGCCGATTTTACTATTTGCCTAATTTTCAGGTGCAAAAGGTAAACAAGTTGTTCGAAAGCAATAATGCAGACCCGATGAAGATTTTTAATGAACTCAATGTTTTACTTTCGCATCTATGCTCCCTAGTGGTTATTAGCGCGGACACATTTGATCCTATATGCTCCCCGTTGGAACCATACCTTGCTCCATTTCCTCAGTTTTATCACAGTTTTGAAGAGTATTTAAAAACAAAAGTAAGCACAAACGCTTTTGACCACGAAGCCGAGAAAATAATGCGAGAAAATGGTCGCTATTTTATTATCACTTTAATAAAGGAATTACGCCAACGCCTCCCTACAAATATTGCCACACTAAAAAAAATTGACTTTTTTCGGTTGGAAATGCATTAAGAGTAATTAAACCAAAAGTATTTGTTCAACTACAGCAACAAAAACACAAATATAATGCCGACGAAATAACATCCATAGAGATGCAATGGCAACGGTTAACGTTACATACCTGGAGTAATTTAGACTCAACTATAAAATTTTGGGCCGAAGTTTATCAATTTCGAAATGCCCTAGGAGAAAACCCTTTTGCTGACCTTTCCAACCTAGTTTTTAGTTTTCTTGTTTTGCCTATAAGTAATGCAGAAGTAGAGCGAATATTTAGTTCAATGAATATAATAAAAACTAAGCAAAGAAATCCAATGTGCGTTAAAACGTTAAACGCTATTTTATATATAAGATACGGTTTAAAACGTGAAGAAAAATGCTGCCATAATTTTACTGTAGATGACGATCTCTTAAAATTAATGAATTCAGGTGATATATACAATAGTGATTCATTTGATGATGAGGAATATACACTCGATATAAATTAATGGTGTTAACTAGTCTTTCGTTTCTTGCGATTTATTTAAATAAAGCATGTGAATTTTCACTAAAACATTTTAGCCGTTTTTTGCCAGAGTCTATGTGAAATTTCACTAAAACATTTTAGCCGTTTTTAGCCGCTTTTTTTGCCAATCTAGCCGGCCGGCCCAAAAAGTTCTGGCAACACTGGCTGTAACCGCCTAAGCGATTTTGGCCGAGTTCAGCAAAGCACGCCAGCCGTTTCTCCTCGGTGCCAACTGACGCCAGGTGAAGCCAAGTCCTTCTCCACCTGATCTTTCCATCGCAGTGGGGGCCTCCCTCTTCCTCTGCTACCACCAGCGGGTTCCGAGCTGGACCGTCGATGTCCATTCGAACAACATGGCCAAGTCAACGGAGCCGCTGTATTTTAATTCGCTGCATTATGTCCATGTCGTTGTAAAGCTCATACAGCTCATCGTTCCATCGTCCGCGGTACTCGCCGTCGCCAGCGCGTAACGGCCCGTAAATCTTCCGCAAAATCTTTCTGTCGAATATTCCAAGAGCCGCTGATTACGGTTCTGCCGAGTGTAGGTTAGTCTCAATTCAAGAAAAAATTGTATTAATAGAAAATTATCTCGGAAAGCATTTGGAAGAAGCTAAATTCTTAGATTTTGGTTAAAAAATTAGATCTTTAATAGAGATATAACAGGTAATTATTTAGAATGACAACGTAAATAAAAAAAAAACTACAACATAATTTGTTGTTTATAAAAATGATGAATTTCGCACTGTGTAAGTATGACGATGTTCGTTTGATGACGTCATTGGTTATCGTAACCTTCTGTTCTATTAGCCTTGTAAATTTATATAGCCATTAAGGCTGTTCAGGATCTTGGGCATATGCTCTTGGTTTTGCATATTCGTTGCATTTGTAAATTCACGGCAATAAAATGTACCTGCACGTTTGCCACGGTAGCAAGCAACAAATTTGCAAATGCAATTCCCACTGCATATCCATGACCATTTCCACAACATCCTGAACAGCCCTGTTGTATTTTTTATTGACAGAGCGAAAACATGGATTTAGGCCACGATTTAATAACACAAGGTTATGTAATTTGTGACAGCTAAAATTAGACACTCCTTTATCTAGATTTGTATTTTGGAAGTAGGAGAAAGTAAAATGTGTATTATTAATCATATGTGAATTTGCAATATATTTGGTGTTTTAATGGAAATACTAAGCAATACGTAAAATAATAGATTTTTAATTTAAGTTATTCGTCATTTCCTGGGACAAATCTAGAATTACGACCGTTCAGCTATGCAAAAACAAAAAATGCAGATCAATAGAACTTTTTACGCTCATTTCAGCCATGTCAAAATTATTTAGCGCAAGTAAAATATAAAGACGGTTTAGAAGGTTACAATCAAGACACTTTTGTCCCATATTTCTGAAAGCTTGTAAAACCAATTTTGAATTGCACGACCCACTCCGTTGCTTATGCCAGGATTTTAACTCTCATTCCAGCACGTTTGATATATCAGATCCGCTTTTCAGCATTAAGAAAGCGATACTCTCCTCTCTCAATAAGTGAATTATTGACATAAATACATAAAATCAGCTGATGAATTTAGTTCTGTTGCTGAACAGTTTTAGATCTCGACACCTAACAAACTCCTGCCTATTGTGACTCGGCACAAACATTTAAAATACTGGTTCCGTACGTCATGCGGACTGCGCCCCTCGTGCGGATGGGCGGGAATGGAGGGTAAAAACCGTTGGGATATTATATTATATATATTAAGTTCTTTGATTTTTTTTTAATATTAATATCTTATGAACCACATAACCGATTAAAAAACTAATAACGTCACCATAAAGATAATCAATTTATCTTTCAGCTGATATACATAATTGAAATTGTTTTTTATATATTTAAACCAAAACCACTAAAAAACGAACATATGTTATTTTTTTCATGAAATAACCTTTTTTGAAAAAAGCTACATGATTAATGGCAAAGAAATTTTTATTATTTAGAAAGTACAAGCTATTATATTTAATTCGATATGCATATTTTATCATGATCTACTTTTGGGTTTTAAGAATTAAGTGGTAATAAAAATTATAAGCAAATAAACCTCTTATATCTTCTTTGTTTGTTACGAATATTTAGTATGAAGAATTTTTGCTTTTACTACTAATATAACTAGAAACTGTAGAGTGAGCAACATTCTGCACAAGTAAAGGAGCCGATTTTATGTGTGGGAGCGAGAAGACTGTTTTATTACAAAACCTTTCTATTATTGAATCATGATAAAAAAAGAAGGTAGTTTCAATAAACAACCTTTTCACGAACACTGGGATTTTTGAGGCTTCATAATTTGTTCATGTTGCTAGCAGCGTTACCATATATGTAGTTAGGTTAGGTTAATTAGGTAGAACTGGCTGGCTAGTACAAGCCTTACATAGACAGATTTTTTTTGTCTATAGTGTTACCAAATAAAAACGACCATTCATGATGGATATGCGGGCATTATATATCGAGAATCCAAGAAACCTTCTTAGCGAACTTTAGAATTTTGTGGAACCCTCATTTTGTTGCTGGCTTGAGGTTAATGAGGAAAGCCTCCCCAAAGCAGCTCAGACGCAAATTTGCCAGAGTTGGTCAGTCGCACACTATGTGATCCACTGTTTCTTTATAAATTTCACACGTCCTACAGTTATCACTACTCACCAAACCCGTTTTAAGCTAACAAATTGTTACCAGTTATGAGACCCACTAGAAGTCTACACTCTTTCCTTGGTAGTTTAAGTATAAGTTTCGTTAATTTCAGGTCATGTGACGTGAACATGGCCCTGGATACTTTGCATCCACGTTGTTGTGACCACCTTTTATCAGCCTCTTGGAATATGCCAAAGTCACGTCACATTTGTTGTTTTAGAGCCTGTACGGAGATAGGAATTTCAAGCTCGACCGCATTATTTAGTAGCACTCCTTCTTTTGCTAGAGTTTCCCTTCCCCCTTCCTTTCGTTTCCCTCTATGCCCTTATGCCTTGCCCCGTCCAACGCATTTCTTGGATGGCGGCGATGTCAGCTTTTGTCCTTACGAGGACATCAATCAGCCGGGCAGAGGCACCTTCCCCATTAAGGGTCCGGACATTCCAGGTGCATGCCCTCAAATCGTAGTCCTTTAAACGTGTGCCATGGTCGTTATCATAAGGGGGAGTCTCAACCGAGGCTTTGCCTTGTTTCTTCACTGGAAGTGGTTTTTACGCGGCGGGTCCCGAGCCCAGCGCACAACCCATTGCTGGGACCGGGCTGGTTTCGCAACCAAATACACGTTTATATAGCGAGCCGCTTGCTCCAAGCAGACACCCGCTTGCAGCCGCACCTACTGGTGAACAGACGCTGCAGACTTCAGTGAGCCCTTAAACCGAATAAGTCGGAGTGGCGCCACCGAAGCTCCCTCTCTTTCTGCCGTAACCCAAGGCTCCACTCGGATTGGTTACCGCATCTTGCACATGGGTTGCCCACGTTTCCCAGAGTGCGCGAACGAGGACGCAAGAGTCGGGATTGAGTATAGCCATGCAACTGTAACTGCATACTCAGAGCAACGACTATACCCCATTGCACTCCATATGTGCTTACGTGTATGGTATTTCTCACCCCTACCCCAAAACTGAAAATTAATCTATATGTATGTATGTTGTGTTAACGTTATTATTTGTTTTGTATTTTTTATGTAATTTTTATCATCTTCTTATTTTCATAGTTAGTTTAGTTCTGTTTTAACTTTAGATTTATATATCCCAATCGGAAAAAAATTCTTCCCAAAAAAAAAAAACGTTTTACAATCCTGTCCTGAGGGTCAATTCCCGTTCTGCGCCATCGTGAAGTGAAAAGTATAAAATTAACACCAAAATGAATGCGGAATCAAAGTGTTATTTTTATCACTTCGCAATAACGCAGAACGTGAATTGACCCTCTGGAGAGTAACGTTTGAGTTGTACAATAAATTTTTTTTTTAAATTCGGACTCGTTAACGTTTTACCATTAATGTTAGATATTTTAGAAGGCTTTCCCCGGTCACGCCGGAGATTTAAACCAATTTTTGTCTCACAAAAGGAAGCGCTGGAAATTTAAAAAATTGTGTACCGTCTTCCTTGCAGTGGAAATTGTAAATTTGCAGCTTCTAAATGCGCAACTCATTTTTATCTATCTATATATATGTTTAAACGTGAATGTCTGTTTTTTTATTACCTTATAATATTTGTCGTAAATTTCGCAAGGGGGTGTGGCATCACCAATAGGCCTGCAAATGTTTAATCAGCTAAAACTTCAGAAGAAAGTACTTGAAATTTGGTACGAAGACAAGTCTATGGGAGGCGCTTATAGTAAGGTATATATAAATGAGTTTATAAAAGGGGGCGTGGCACATCCCTTGGACGTGGAATTTTGTTTCAGCTATTACTTCGGAACCATAAGTCACATAAAATTAAAATTTGGTATGCAGACATATCTACGGTAGGTGCTTATGGTAAGGTTTATATGAATGAGTTTATAAAAGGGCGCGTGGCTTATCCAATAGGCTTTGAAGTTGTAATCAGTCATAACTTCGGAACCGTAAGTCACATGAACTAGAAATTTGGTACGCAAATATATATATGGTAGATGCTTATAGTAACGTATATATAAATGAGTTTGCAACTGCGGGCGTAGCACATAATATAGGCGTGGAATTTTTAGTCAGCCATAACTTGGGGACCATAAGTCATATGAACTTGAAATTTGGTATGTAGATATATCTATGGTAGGTTCTTATAGTAAGATATAAATAACTAGTAAGGTATAAATAACTGAGTTTGTAGAAGGGGGCGTGGCTCATCTCATTGTCATGGAATTTTTAATCACCCATAACTTCGGATCCATAAGTCACATAAAATTATAATTTGGTATGCAGACATATCTACGGTAGGTGCTTATAGTAAGGTATATGTATATAAATGAGTTTGTAAAAGGGGGCGTAGCACATAACGTGGCGTGGAAATTTTTATCAGCCATAACTTCGGAATCACAAGTCACATGACCCTAATTCCTTCTGATATGCCTTTCGAATTTAAAAAACTTCAGTTTCCAGCTCGCTTAGCTTTTGCAATGACAATAAACAAGAATGCCAAACTCTTTTCGAAAATAAAATGTATGATAATTGCATTGGAAATTGCATCCATGTTATGTGGAATAATATTAGAGTTATCATTCGTAAGAAATTAGATAGTTAAAATTTAGTTATTACACTACAACGTTGGTATTTCTACTATTATATTATTTATTGGAAATATTTTAATGTAAATAAAAACACCTGATACATACATAAAGTGTTTTTCATATTTTTATAGAGACGTGGGGTGAAACCCGCGGGTAAAAGCTAGTTTTCTATAATTTAAATTTATTTTTATTTTTTATTTGATTATAATTTTCAATCAAAATGTATGTACATACGTATATGTATGTATGTTATTAGCACATCTTTAGAGGTCTTAATACATGCTAACTTAATAGTTATCATG